TTCTTGCTAGGGATCCAAACTTCATAAGGCCTTTAAGGGACAGAGAACTTATTGTCTTCCTTGCCTTGTCTTGTCTTCCCTCCTCCACTCTGCCGTCCTTCCCTCTCAAGGAATGGACAAGATCATCTGGTCGCCCTCTCCTACCGGGATCTTCTCTTCCTCTTTAATCGATCTCTTCAATCAGCCTCTTCGGACCACACTTCATCACCATCCATTGCTGCCAAGGCGTGGCAGCCCTTCATTCCCCCTCAAAGTTCAAGTTCCCTCCTAGATAACAATATTCAAAATTCAAAAGAGCACTCACCAAAGATCAACTCCAAAGAAGGGGTGTCCAGATCCAAATAGGTGTATCATGTACACAGGGATGCTGATACAAATGCCCACCCCTTTATCCACAGCAAGGTCGCTAGTACCCTTTGGGAATACCTATTACAACTGTTTAATTGGTCGTGGGTGCTGCCACAATCAATACCCCACATCTTCTGCTCCCTCCACTCACCACCACCTTGGTCAAAGTCCGGGATCTTTCTTTGGCCGGCGTCCATGGCTTCCTTACTATGGGTTATCTGGATGGAAAGAAATTCCAGAATTTTCCATGGCGACGGGTCTTCGACCGAGGTTCTTAAGGATAGGGTGAAGACCCTTGCCACTTTTGGGCAAAAAATAGCAATTCAAGCACTGCCCATAATCGGATTTTCGCCAATACTTATTACCCTTGCTTTTCACCTTAGGCCCCTCCAAATTGTTCAAGCCTTTCTCTGGAGACCACCGGAACCCGGCCAAACACGGTCGACTTTGATAGTTGCTCCCTTGGCAACCCAGGCCCAGCTGGCATCGAGGGCGTGTTCAGAGACAAAGATGGCAACACCCTGTTTTCTTACTCCCATTCCATAGGCCACATCAACTCCAACTTGGCCAGGGCATTATCCCTCCTCAAAAGGCCTCAAAAATGTCAATCCCAACTGAAGTCCAATGCTGGTAATCGAGGGGAACTCCAAAACCATCTTGTGAACTTGCACTAAGAGACTGGACAATGTTTTTGACGAAACCTTCCAGATTTGCAGGATTATTCACGTCTCATGGAGGCATAATTGGAGGTAATCTAATGCTGTAGCCGACACCAGAGGGGGAGCATCACAGACAACAGATACCTAGGGGATCTTTTTTAAGCACCTTTGCGAGCATGAAATCCCCCATTTTTGGTTCTTTACCTTCTGCTTGTAAAGTATTTTCTGTGACCCCTCTGGTATATTTTCTGAACAGGTTTTTGTACATGATACCTGGCTTGCGGGTGCCTACTCTATACTTCCATCTCTTGTACCTCTCTGCTGAGTAATAAAACATTAAACACTTTCTAAACAAACAAAATATTGTACACAGATCAAATAGAAATTATATTCTTTTTGTTTTTTTGTTTTGGGGAACAAATACTTTTCAAAGGGTTTTTCCAACCTTTGAAAGGATTTCAGGGTCAAAAAACTACTTCAAATTCCAAATTAATCAAACCAAAATCACCCAAGAGGCCATTCCTACTTCACCACAAGAAACAAAATAACCAAGCAGTACATTTGACCAAAGCCATCAATGCTATATAACATTTCCTTGTGTTTCAGTCTACATGAACCCATACTGATTTGGAAAACTTAAGATACCAAGATAAGACTTCAAGAAAGGGACCATATGAATGACTAAACAGTGAACCATAAGTCATCTATGGATACCCTCCGGAGCAAAATCATCAGCATCAAAAAGTAAGGACAGCAAATGTCTCACTATAGCCATGTATAAATCCCAATAAGAAACACCCCTAATAGAAGACTAATGATTCAATGGTATAGGTATAAGCTTGAACATCCAAGATGCTGCTTTAGTTGTTGACTGAGTCATGCGTAAAGAGATGAAACAGACTAGGCTACTTATGTTGTAGGGTGACTGGCTAACACTTCCAAAATAGATGATAGAAGTCCATGAAAGCATGTCCACATCTAGGAATTTATAGACTTTTTTTTTTTTGAGTAAGTTGAATATTGTATTAATTGTATAAAGAATTACAGAATTAAGAACAAAATTTAAGCCGGCCCCACAAGTGGGTGCCCTATACAGGGACCCTTGAGGGTCCAAGAATCTCTACAAAAGATCCGAAGAAGAAAAAGGTAACGGCTAAGGGGGGGTCCAAAATCCCCGGGGGAGAGTTGAGACTAGCTTAGCTAGTGCATCTGCCACGGCACTAGCATTCCTATGAGTGTGACTCCATAAGACTTGGATAGTACTGCAGAGGTGGGCAATTTCGACGAAAATGTTATTTAATCTCCACTGGCTGGGGGCCTTGCCAGAAGCCCAAGCGATAGTGTTGCTGGAATCACCCTCTACCAACACATGCGTGCTCCAAAGATGGTTGAATTTTCTGAGTCCTTCAAGCAGGGCCTTGGCCTCAGCAACTGTGGAGTTTTCGACTCCGATAGGCAGGGCTTAAAAAAGGAGAATCAGGCCTTCTGAATTCCTACACAGACCTCCAATGCCTGAGGGGGCCGGGTTGCCTAGAGAACAGCCATCAAAATTTAACTTGATGGCCCCAGGTTCCAGAGGTCTCCATAAAGAAGTACGAGGAATCCTGTGCTTACTTAGGTGAAGCAGAGCTTGCCAATTTTAATAGAGATCGGAGAAGGAATAGACGGAGAAGCTTGGGCGATTAAAAGCCCAGAATGTGACAAGAGACCTTTTCTTTTCAATAAGAGCTGAGGTAGAGGCTCTTTCCCTCTAAAGATCCTATTATTCCTCTCAATCCAGATGGTCCAAAGAGTGGCTGAGATGGAAGCTCTCCAAAGGAGATTTCCTGAATTTTCCAAGGAGTTTTAAGGCAAGACGTGAAGAGGTGAGGGATTGATTGGGGAATGACCCACAGCCACTTGAATAGAAGAAGGTCTGACCAAAGGGCCAAAGCGACCTCATAGTGAAGAAAAAGTTTTCTTCCGCTTCAAGAAACATAGCACATTTGTTAGGCAAGGAAATTCCCCTTTGCTGCAATTGATTGAGAGTCAAAACCCTTTCATGAAGTGCTATCCAAGTAAAAAACTGGATTTTGAGGGGCAAGAAGGAGCACCAAGCCTTGGCAGCTATTGGGGGAGAGGCCAAGGGGAGAGAAGGCGGGGAGTATAAGCCTTGGTAAAAAGAAGCAACTGTGAATAAACCTGAGGGGGAGGGGGACCAGACAATCTTGTTATTGCCTGTGGATGAAAGAAATAACGAATAGAGCAGAGCCGAGAGATTCAAGAACTGATGGAGCTCGTGGTCAATTAGTAGCTTCCTGAAATTGGGGTTCCATGATCTAGCATTAGGTGGACCAGAAATTCTTTATGCCACCAAAGACGAAGGGTTAAAGGCTAGATGAAAAAGGGACGGAAACCGGTCCTTGAGGGGCGAGGAACCACTCCAAATATCATGCCAAAACCTGACGTCGGAGCTACCCTAGGGATGTAACGAATATGATTTAGGAAGAGCTACCAGCTATGCAAAAAAGACCTCCAGAAACCCAAGATGTTACCTCCCGACCTACAAGAGCTAGTGTTTGCCAATGCATCTTGGGTCAGTCAGCTGGATGCAAACCTTGGACATAGTGCTGCGGCACACCCTAACCACCAAGCCAAGATGCTGAACCTGCTTCACAATCTGCAAATAAAGTGATGGCAGTCTGCTCATTATGGAAGCTGTGAGTTAAGCTCTCTGAAGAATTTTGCTGGAAACAACCCATTCTTGGGATGAGATTGCATGCAATGAAGATCCACGCTGAGTTCCCTGCTGAATTATGGTACTTGTCACTGTGTTTCTTTGAGTAATTCACTATGTCAGATCTATTGATTTCTGCATTTCAAAGAGGATTCCAAAGGCGTTTATTTAGCCATTGTGGGCTCCAGTGAAGACCTTTATTTTTCACAAATTCAAAATATAAGACAAAAGAGGGGAGAAAGCAATGATCATCATCATCTCCTATTACAGGAAAATTGATCCCCAAACTAATTGTACATTTGTACTTGCTAGTGATTATGTTGCAAGGAATGCCAACTACCATCCAAAACAGGTGCACATGTGAAATCTCAAGAGGGCTTAACAGCAGACTGATGTAACTTTGACTAAAACTAGAAGCTCTCCATTCCACCACTTCTATTTAATAGTTAATACAATGATTTTTCTTACTAAGACACATCTAATCGAGCATACAAATCTTAATGTCCTTTTCACAGACGAAAGCATCTTAGTCCACGTAGTTTCTCCCAAATCAAATTAGTTTCTCTATGACGTACCTAACAGAAAGAACCCTCACCTTGGCAGATACTTTTCCAGCCTTGACCTGGCCAATATTGGAAAACAATAAAAAATATATAGACAAAATTAGTAAGCAATTGAAATGGATGGAATATATTATTGATTTACTAACTATTTATTGTTTGCCTGCTAAGCATATGATAAAAATTTCATAATTCACAAAGACAACGATGACATGCAACTTGTAAGATTAAATAGTATTGCAGAAACTCATCGATGACCTGGAAGTTTAAAACAATGAAGTATCACACTACAATATAATTCCCTCTGCAACTATTAGAAGTTTTCTGAACTGGTGTAACTATGAGATATTTAAGTCAGTAAACAAGAAGCCAAGGGAAGGTGATATTCATGGGACAAGCTTACTCCTATTTTTCAGAGGATCGGCCACTTGCATGTTTTGGATGGAACAAGCCCAAGAAGAAAATTACCTAGAAATTTGGAGTTGGTATTAGAACATCAAGAAGATTTGGTATTGAGAAACGTTTAACACACTTCGGTATAGGAAAAAAGCTGGGAAAGACAATCAATTTTATTTACAAGCTGAGATTATGTTTAGGAAGATCATGAATTTCATGACAAGTTCAGTTCCAAAAGAAACAATAACAACTTCTGTGTCGTAACTGCATTTGCGACAAAGAAAAGGACAACGAGAAATTTGTAGTCAAGAGTAACCTTACTTCTTCTAGGAACTCAATATCCACAAAAGTTGTTCCAGCTTGTATGTTGAGAGATCCTTCTTTCCGCAGAGCTTCAAAACTTGATAATGTATACCCCTTTGGAAGAACTCCAAGCAAGTATGCTACAAGGAAATGGCCAGCTTCATGCTACAAAAGCACAACATGAATTGGTTAACAACCTCCGGAAATACTCCAATGCCACGCAATCTGGTCAAACTGAGCACTGTAGTGTAAGTATTATTACAGCATGCATGATATAAAAAACGCAATGTTACAATAACAATAAATAAATAAATAAATAAATAAAGTGCAAGCATCAAAGCCAGTTGATATGTAACAGATGATATAAGAATGAATTATTTCATTACACTAAAAAGTCTATAAAGCAGCAACCTATAGCCAGGCACAAGAGGCACAGGTGAATGGCTGAGAAATTTCATTGCATCCGTCACAAAGACAGGCATGGAGATGTTTCCGAGGCACACAAAATTCTTGTCTGATAAAATTCCAAAACCAATACAACAAACGTACCCACTTAGGAGTAGTTATCTGCATGGCATTTGTTTATTATCTAATTTGACATTATATATAAACGTCAAATATAATTTGATAAATGAGACTGCAAATCAAAGGTCCTACGCTCAGATATAAAATCTGTTCTACAACTTAACTTGAGAGAAAAAATCAAGAAAAAAGCAAGAGCAGGCTTACATACGATTACTAACATTAGTCTAGAGTATATACATCCAATTTTGCTTTAGCCCAGACAAACCTAATCAGAAAGTCAGTCTAAAACATAAATTAAAGTAAAAATAATGAAATCAACTTTAACATGTTAACAGGTAGTAATGGAACCCATGAAGCCACATTGTGCTCTGCCACCCTGACTACCCAAGCCAAGGGCCCATTACTAAACAATGAAATCAGTTTAGAAGCCTTGGAGGAGAGTGAAAACCATCGACCATGCCTAATAGTTCTGGTTCCAAAGCTGACATTGTCATAAAATTCCTCAAAGTTCTAAAAACAAATCAGAGAACTTTAAAAAGAGAGAAGTTGTAAGTTTAGAATTTCTGGTTGACAAATAAAATAAATATACAAAGACCATGATAAGCCATGTAAAACAAATAATCCATGACCCGGAAAAGTGGACTACAAACATATCCTGTTCTCCAGACTCATTCACAAACTAATCCTCCATGGTTCTCCCAGCAAATCAAGACATATGACCAACTCACCATTCCAAGCCACCACCAACAACATATTTCGTCCGGATTATCGACAGAAACATTCACAACAATATATTTTGTAGTGTTCTCCAGACACATTGACAAACCGACCCCCCATGGTTTTTTCAGCATTTAAACACATATGACCAATTCACACTATTCCAAGCCACCAACAACAAAATATTTTGTCCTCAACACCTACAATAAATATTACTTTCTATCGGACCCTCTTAGGGACTCGTACTCTTACGACCAATGATGCGTTGAAACAATTTGAAACTACATTAGAGGCAAAACCAAAAAACATGGAAAATCATTTGGAGATTATGGGTGTTTGCGTATGTGTGTACTATATTCTAATCTAACAGAAGTATGTGGCACAAATTTTATGATATGCAGTATATTATATAAAGATGTCTTTATATACATGTTTATTATATTAATACTCCTTCCACATTATAGTTATATTAGTAATACTTAGGATATTGATACATGATTAAAGATATTGACATATAAAGAATCATATATCATATACTAAAGATCTATACCATATAACATAGTAAAGATATGCAGTGTGATCACACATGTTGCATACCTTTGAACATGTATTTTTAATAACTTTTTTGTAATATAATTTATATTGTGTTCATATTTTAATGCAGAGTCTGCACTTCATTTTCAGCAAGACAAACCATCCACAGTATCCAGCAGACCAGGGTACCAGGCTACTAACAACGTATACGGAAATATAATCAACGAATAAAACAGAACATGATAGGAAAACTCCATAAAAAAACAATTACGACCATGGTCTGTCTTACTTGAACAACCCTGCTGCGATATTTTCCACTGAGTAAATTGCCAAATGTATCAAGCACCATATTCTCCAGCCCTCCACTGAAAATAATCTGTGCGGTATCAGTCAAGGTACTAGGTCATTAATTAAAATTATCCCCACAAATGCAAAGAAACAAAATTTTCCACTGAATATCTTCAGAAAAAGAGCTTAAGCATGATAACAACAATAAAACCTTGCTGAATATATACAAGCTAGGCACAACAAATATAAGAGCTCGGCAGGACCTTCTATATCTATAACACTTGCCCAAATATTAATTTAACTGACATGAAGTAATCAAATGCAAAAAAAAAAAAGCAGCGCAAAAAATAAATCTCCAACCATCTTTCCGATTAGACAGGTACAAACAACAATAAATTGTTGCTTGCATATGTTTAAACTTTGTTCAAACACATATGGCTCAACTTGAATTTTAATGTAGTATTATAATCAAGGCTCATGTTATAATCAAGTGTATTTTGTGGCAGTTTGTTATATCGCTTGGGAATGAAAAAATAATGACTGAAAAAGATGTTCCTTCTGTAATGCAACAAAAACGAAGGGTGCCTTTTGTATACAGCCAAGGCTCTAAAGAATCAAATTGGAACCCACCTTCAAATAATGTTGAAGAATATGGTTTCAATACTAGAAAGTTTTGTAATAGCCTTAAATTATATTTTCATCTTTAGTTATAAAATTTAAAGCTTCAAAAATAGTGTACATCGAGCTGATCCATGAAAATCTTGAAAATTGACGGTCCAAAATACGTTACAAGTTGCACTATTTCCAAAACTTAAAATCCAATTTTTTCTCATGTCCATGATCAATTTGATGATATTTAGGCATCAAAACAACCTCTGCTAGTGAAAGTTTTGAGGTACGCTCTATTTTGTTTGTTTAGAGCCTAGGCTCTATATAAACTTTTCCCATAAGTGAATATGAAGATAAGCAAATCACTATTTGATATTGTATTTCAAAAGCCATATCTACTTGATAAAATTCCTAGGGAATGAAGACACAATAGAGAAGCCATATCTACTTGAAGTTAGTAATATCAACCAAAATTGTGAGAACCAGAATGCCACTGGAGCGACATGGATATCAAGATCAGGCCCTTCAAAACTAAAAAGAAATGAAGAAGTTATTCGAAAAAACAAACAGAAGTTCCCTATACTTCAGTTGATTACAGCAATTTTCATCCTCTAATTCTTGAACCGGTCACAAATAGGCCAGATTTTTCATGCTTTGCCAGAAATATATGAGACTGCACCGAGACAAAAGGTCAGTCCACACTGCACACCCGTTGTGCAAATAAATGCTCAAAACATTTATGCCCAACAATGCTAGAAAATCTCTCATGAACTATGCATTTTACACAAACTGTGGACAAAGAAGCAAGGTTTGTTTGTGGAGGGAGGTGGTGATTTCTGCAAGCCTTCTGACATTGTTTGTCTTTAGTAGTTTCTTCAAAAACTTGCTCAAGGGTGCTAAGAATGAAATCCAAAATCCTAACTCGTACCACGAAGGAAGATATGAAAAAATATGAACTACAAACAGGAGTTTCATAAAGCCCCCAGCAAAGGCAAGCACTCCACATTATCAAGTGCTATGTTATTCCCAGAAACATACTGATTTCCTACCCCAAAATAAATATCTGCAAAAGCAATGCAGTACAAACCAAAAGTTACCAATTCCTCTTTTGACCTTAATATACAATAGAAGTACCGTGCATCAACTATTGGCAATAATGAATGGAAAAGAGTGACCTTGAGTGCATCTTCATGCATCCAGTCAACATTAGGAAGGAATAACAAACAAGTAATGAATACTGGGAATACCACAAATTCGACTCTGCATTCATGATGGCAATGTGTTTTAGTCACTCAGTCCTATTTTCGCACAAATAAAATGCAGGAGTAGGATCAAGTGATATTCAGATCACAAACATAAGCATTTGGTAAGCAAGTTGTCAAATGTTCAAATGCATAAGTACATTAAATTGCCTTCATTAGGGATATCAACAAGGAAACAAATTCTAAAATGGAGCATATAAAGACAAACACACCAAGTCCAGTGACCAAAGAGAAAGTAATCCCAGTAAGAAAAACAATAGTTGTAGCTGGTTATATCCTAGAGAAGTCCACAAAGAGAACTCTCCCAAAACTGTAACGAGCTGAAGGTTTCTCTTTATTGTACGCAATGTTGTGTCCACAGGAGAGAGCAACAAAGATGTATCTATCCTGTTAAGCTTTAGTTCGTCCAGACTGTATGAGCGTTGGGGTATCTGCATGAAAATAAACAAGAAGAATTAGCGCTAAGACTGGCTCCCTAGACCCAGTAATGCAACATATAAGAGAACATTACCCATGGGTGCGAAATGGCAAAATGCTAAACTGCAATTCACATCCAGAAAGTAAAATATTAAGGAAACAATAGCAATTTTCTTTTGCATGACTTGATTTAGTTATCACATTACACTATTTCACATTTTAGGAATTTCAACGAGTACCACGCGAGGCTGGTTGGTGAGTGCTAGGTCTGCTACACCCAACCAGACAAGACATCACCACAGAGATACAGCTTTACATTGGGGAGACCACAAGACCGCCATTTTTCATCGAACCCTGTACCTAAGAACGTCCAGAGATAATACACCACTAGTAATCCAGTCAAACCACAATATTACGACCGGGTCCTATCCACCTTCATAAGAAAGCCAAAGATGCAATTCTTTCAAGGAAAAAGGACACCAATAGCATACATCATCAATTGCGTCTACATCAAGGAATTCATAACTTGGTGATCAATAAAGATGGATAGAGATTGCATAGATGAAGGAGAATAGAGGCAAACTAAGTAATGGAAGTATTAATGGATCCCAAAGGGGAGGAATGTGTGGGACAAGAGGGAACCTGTCTGGCAGCTCCAAAGCCACGAAGACCATCTGGCATATCCTGCAACTCCCTGATGAGCATAAGAGCACCCTCTTCGTCTCCCTCAGCTAGCTCCATATCTACCTGCTCAAGTACCTCCATCCTCTTCCTGCTCACACACCTGAGACCACCACCACTACTACAACATCCTCGTGTCTTAGTTTGATACTCGCAGTCATAGGAGATATGGGCAGGCACACAAATAACACGACTCCATGACCATGATATCTGCATGTGCATTGATCCCCCTCCAATGCAAGGCTGAATTTGTGTGCCCCCTTTGGTTGGATGGATGATAAAGGGATGAATGGAGCTGCAAAGGCCACAACGGAATGAACTATTACATGTGAGTTTCAATATACTATACAGTGGCAACGTCTCAGCCACACATGATGAGCCCAGCCTCCTCAGCCACACATTATGAGCCTGGCCCAGGACACAACAACTGATCTGGCTTTCTTGTATGCAGGGCATATTTATCCCTTAACCAAAGCTGAATAACAAAAATTAAATTAGAACCAAAAAAATAAGTGAAAACAAAAAAAACAAAAAAAAAACAAAATAAATGTGTTTAGGATTTCCATGGACATATTGGTTATGAACGTATTGGCAGCACAGATCTTGCAAAACATAACTGGCAATTAAACCCCCATACTAATTTATTTGCAGAATCACAATATGCTTATCCTATTTCCTCATGCACTCAAGCCAGCCATATCACTGGAGAATTTTGCCCATCTCCTTTCCAATTCGTTCTCCTACCACTATTCCATATTCTCACTCAGTTCACTTTTTCCTCTCTTATTTAGAATCTTGTTTTCGTACTCTCTGTCGCCACACTTTGTGTACGGATGTGTGCGTGTGTGTGTGTGTGTGTATATATATATATATATATAAGCATAAAAACACATCTGCGGACGAAAAGGTTTATTCACATGAGTATTAATCCAGGAATAACACCTCTAAATGTGAGATCGATTAGAAACAAGAAAAAAGAATCCGCAACACCTGAATGGGGCAGAAATGTATTCCATTCAATTCATTCTTATGCTCTGGATGTACATAAAACAAAGGGCAAAAGCCGCATAAAAAGTCCAAAAGAGAAGGGGAAAAAAATACAGAGCTTTAAGTGATCCATGATAGGGGGAACGATGATGTCCAAAACCCCCTCACATTTTGCCAAAAAAAAAAAAACAGAACTTCAGAACTCCTGAGAAGCAGAGCCAGGGCCACCCTTCTCCTTCCCAGCCTTCTTTGGCAACAGCATCTGATGGATGTTAGGCAACACTCCTCCATTTGCAATGGTGACAGTGCCGAGCAACTTGCTGAGCTCCTCATCATTCCTCACCGCCAACTGAATGTGCCGCGGAACTATCCTATTCTTCTTGTTGTCCCTCGCTGCATTCCCAGCAAGCTCCAACACCTGCAAACAATAAGAACCAAATAGTCCTAAGATCATCAATCAAACAATAAGAATCAAACAATAAGAACCAAAAAGCCCTAAGATCATCAATCAATAATCATAGAATGAGGCAATATCACCCAAAGACAGTACATCCTCAAATACAGGAGAGAACAATGAACGAATCAATCAATTAAAATGAAAATGACAAGAAGAGAGAGATAAAGGACAAGTAACAGATCAATAGAGAGAGGGGAGAAAACATGCCTCAGCAGCCAAGTATTCCAGTACAGCAGCAAGATAGACAGGAGCACCAGCACCAACCCTCTCCGCATATTTGCCAGCCTTTAAAAACCTAGCGATCCTTCCCACAGGGAACTGGAGGCCGGCCTTCTGAGACCTAGATACCGATTTCGAGGCCTTGGGCTTCCCCCTCCCGCCCTTTCCACCACCAGCTGAGGAACTCATTCTTTCTTTCTCTACTCTACGGAGGAAACCAGAGACGCTAAGGAGATTAGTGTTTGTGTTTGCTTGGTAACAGAGAAAGGAGATGAGGCGCTGATCGTTGGGTTATGGAGCGAGAAGGGAGAGTGGGGGAGTTATATTGATGGCGTTTCCCGCGAGCAAAGCGAGTGAGTCGACGGGAATTGGTTGACGCCGTCCTCACATGGATCGCCAGCGTGGCACGTGTATCCGCCCTACGATCCGCCGCCTACGTATTAACTTGCTACCGTACGATGGAAAAACACAAAGAGACGGAGCTTTTTAAAGGAACGGTGGGGATTACTCGGAGAGTCACGGAGGTAAAGCTCAAAAAGTTAAGTCGGTCAATGTCTAACCTCATTTTAGCAAGGGAAAATAAAAAAAGAAAAAAAGAAAAAAAAAAGAAAAAAGGGGATGGAGTTTGCATACGGATGCATCAGGCAGGTGTAGAGGGAAAGTGACGTTCAAATTTTATCATGGTATATAATTTTGATGGAAAGTGCTTTTAGGATTATCTTAAAATCTATTTTTATATCTAATTATAAAATTTAAAAATTTAAAAATAGTTAAAATCAAGTAGATCCATAAACATATGAAAATCTTGAAAAACAGTATAAATAATAGGTTGTAAAATGTACTATTTATTATACTTAAAATGATCAATAAATGGGTTTTTCAACATTAAAACTACCTTTTTTCGATGGATTTTTGAGAGGCATCCGTAATTCTACATTATAAGGTAGCAAAAAAACAATACCATACTTTCTATGCAACTTACTCATCATAATTTTTTCTCACTTTTTTTCCAAAACAAACTTTCTATACAAATACCCCCCAGGAAAAAGGTTTATTTTTTGGAATGAAATTCCCTTCTTATACACAAAAATCTTTTTTTTTTTTTGTCACATTTGACATTGACTTTTTGACCTATCACAATGTCAAAGCTCATAAGTATCGGACCACCCTAAGACAACTACTGGACGGAAACTGAGTACCGCAAGATTACTCTGTACATAGTGCCCGAGCTCTAGAATCCAGTAAATGTACATAATGTCAGCCTTGGAATCCAGTAACATCTGTTGTTGGACCACCTTTGCAACTGTCTACACGCCGCCTTTGTAACTGTCAGACCGCACTTTTACACATTGTTAGAACCCTATTACCGGACTGCACTTTACAATGCCGAGGACCTACTGTCGGACCGTACTTTACACAATGCCAAACCCTACTGCCGGATTGCACTTTACACAGTGCCCTACTGTCGAACCACATTTTACACAATACCAGAACCCTACTATCGGACCGCATTTTACATAGTGCCACTCTACTATCGGACCGCACTTGCATGGTGCCAGGGCCCTATTTTGGTGGGATAGAGGAGAAAGAGAAGTGGGCGACGTAAAAGTAAGGGGTAGTTTAGGTATTTTTTATTTTTATTTTTGGTTGGGGCATTTTCATAGAAAGTATTTTGGAAAAAAAAAGTGAGAAAAAGTTAGGTTGGGGGTAAGTTGCATAAAAAGTACAGTTATGGGTGTTTTTGTAATTTTCCTTTTTAGTAAAAAAGTGTGGTTTTTATAAGGTTGCAACCTTAAACAAACAGTCTACCTCTAAATTTTATCATAATATGTAATTTTAGCATAATTTTTTTTAAGATTATCTCAAAATTTATTTTCATATTTAATTATAAATTTTTAAAATAGTTAAAATCAAATAGATCTATAAACATATGAAAATCTTGAAAATGGACAGTCTCAATAATGTGTTGCAAGATGCACTATTTCTTGCACTCAAAAACTTTTTTTATATATATTCTTATATCTCGATATCGAGATGATCAATTAGAAGGCTTTTCAACATTAAAACAACATTTTTCAATGGATTTTTTCGGTGCATCTGTAATACCACATTTTAATGTTGCAACCTTACATAAACTTTTTCCTTTTTAGGACATGGTTTCTATACAGCTAGCGGGCATGTTGTAGAAATGCAGGCTTGACAATAAATATATTTTTTAAATATAATTTGATTCTAAATTTTAGAGAATATATAATATCTAACATGGAGGTCATGAATATGAAATAATAAAAATAATAATTTTATTAAGAAAACATTTGGGTCGTTGGTTACACTTGTTTTTAGATGGACCACCTATTTGCATCCATCTTTAAGATGGATGCTTTATACCTCTGGACCGTGTATTGTAACAATATGGTACGGCACACATGAAACAAATTTCGTTTAGTAAAAAACATGATTTACAATCCAAATGGAGGAGAAATAAAGGAAAATTGTTTCATGTGGCGGGGACCACATTTCTACATTTGTGGTCCCCGATCCATCTTAAATATAGATGCAAATAGGTGGTCCATTAAAAACAATTGAAACTAATGGTACAAATGTTTTTTAATATAATAATTATTTTTAATTAATTATATATATATATATATATATATATTACAGATTCCATATCGTAAAAAATTAAGTCCAAAAATCCATCTCAAAAATATATATTTAAGAGGTGACTCATTTCTACATGGACTCATAGAAACTGTATCCAAAAACAAATGAATGTAGTATGTGGGTAATTTTTATGTACATTTTATTCCTTTTTAAGTTTTTAAAAGTTTATATAACGGATAGGTCCCTCGTAATCAGATTAAGATATACCTCAAAAATTCATTATAAGAGGTTGTGTAGAAGCTCAATAGTCCTCAAATCGATCATCGCAACCTCAAGATGAAGGGACATTAGAAAAAATGGATTTTAAATATTGAAATTGTACATCTTGTAATGCATTTTTTGAATTGTCAATTTTTCAAAAATTTCAAGTGTTTATAGATATGCTTGATCTACGCGATTTTTAAACTTCAAAATTTATAATTAAAGATACCAATAAATGTTCAGACTATCACAAATAGTTTTAGTACTGAAACAGCTTTTGACACTATTTGAATGTGCACCTTGCTTTAATTTATTAGGGCCTTAGTCTTATAAAAACTACACCGTTTTATGTTTGCGCAAGGTTTTAATCCCCTACTAAATCCATTTTAGGAATGGATTTTAGATCCAAAGTGTTCGGGGTATGGAACCTCAACCATGATTAAAAAATAACAAAAAAAATTTATAAGATAATTAAGGGACCACAACGGTGGGCTAATCTCTCTCTTTACTCATTTTTATCTCATTTTTTCTCTCTAAAATATAAAAATATAAGATAATTAAGGGACGACAACGATGGGCTAATCTATCTCTTTACTCATTTTTATCTTATTTTTTATCTCTAAAATATAAAGAATCTAAGATAATTAAGGGACCACAGCAGTAGGCTAATCTATCTCTTTACTCATATATTATTTCTTTTTTTCTCCCTAAAATATAAAGAATCTAAGACCTATTTGTTTTATTGTATCCCGATAACAATTTGCCTTTTTTGTGCACACCAAATACAGTTTCGAATGGGAGCAAATGTTGTCTTGAGATAACGCTTTGTACTTGAAAATCACATCAATTTTATGATTTTTTATTACTTTTTATCCCTTTTTCACCTAACAATTTGCCAACAAAAAGGGGCTAGGTCATGATAGTAGCACCCCCATACCCTAGCCACTGACACCACCCTACTAATACCTTTAAAAACTAACTCCTAAACTATTTGAAAAAATTGATAGGGGCTTGTCTTCCCCACTGAATTGCCCAATAAATAAAATAAAATAAAAAGTACCTATCTATATTTCTCTCTTTCTAATTAAGATATATCTCTATCAAATATTCTATACAATGATATACTATAGAAGGAGTAAATAATATATTGTTTTTTCAATACGTGGTAAATTCCTCTCTTACTCTCTCTATCATGCATATCTCTATCTATCATAAAGACAAGAGTGTATCTTACATTATTTGTACAATTAGGGCTCATTTCTATTCATGTCCACCCTTAATTCTAGCTTAATCATGTAGTATAGATATATTATAGGGAAAGTATAGAATGAGACCATTTACTTTTGATACAAGGTGGTCATATTAATCTTGACTATTGGATATGAAATTGGGTGGCCGCAAGTATTCCATTGGCTAAGCTCAAACTTCAAAATACAATTTCTCGAACTTTGTGGCACATCCAAGTTATTAAATTTCACATAAAATGATTGTAAAGAATTGCGACCATCTTGTATCAAAGGTAAATGATCTCATTGTATACAATTATTATATTATATATGTTGGGTTTGTGTGGCTTTTAAATGCTTATAAGAGCTTGTATGAGCATTTTATATAGTGGAACATAAACTCAATGGGAGTGTGGTCCTTTTGTGAACCGTACTAGGTAAATATTATTTGTTGATAATCAGACTAGGCTCGACGAGTTAGGTCAGTCGAGGTTTGGAAAAACCCAAGATACCTGGGTATAGGGATCTACCGATAATGATTTAGTGGGTTATCTAATGATGAGGTCGGAGTATGCCTAGATGAGAGCCAAGGGACTGTGTGGCCTTTTCGTGTGATGAATAACCTTTAGAAACAGGGCTAAAACCTCATCGTTATATTATCACACGACATGTACATAGATAATCGTTTTGAGATTCACCAATGAAGGTGAAACATGTACATGTGAGAGAGATTACCCCTAAGCACCATGGTTGCATCATGGTCTGAAGGAAAACCTGATATTCATAAACTGGGATTGCGTCCCGTAGTCTATTAGCTGACTTTGGTGGCCCAATCATGAGCTCCAGCAGTGGACTGTGAGTCATTTTGAGAAAGCTAGGCGGATCATGATTCGTAGTTGAAGGTGGAGTGCTCCCATGTATAGATAATTTTACAGATCTAACGGATCCGATTCCCATCAAAATTAATTAAATTTAATTAATTTTATGTTATGTGATTTGTATAATGTTTATTTGATTTTTTGTAAATATTCTGATATTTTATTTTTGTCATTTGGATTTATAAATTAAGAGAAATTAATTTTTCAATGTTTTAAATAAAATATAAGATTTAAAAAGTCTAAATATGAAATAAAATATTTTCTAAAAATATATGGAGCCTCCATAAAATATGGGATCCAAAATTTTAAAAGATATGAATTAGGTGGGGACCACACATGGCCACC